ATCTGAGTTTTTATGTTTATATAATCTGTTTCTTTTACAAATCTAGAGAACTTTTAAGTTTTTTTTTAATGCATTTCTACATTTCTGAAATTCGAAAATTTCTCTCTCTGGAGTCTCATTGTAAGCCCACAGAATTTTTTAAATTGGTATTTCTATGTAGTTTTTTTTAGTCTCCTCAAATTTTGAAAATGTTATACTGAAATTTTTTTTGATGTAATTTTACTAAAATTGTTTTGTTTTGCATTTTTTAAATTGCTAGATGATTTTTTAGTCTACCTTTTAATATTTTGAAAATTCTCTACTAGCATTTTTGAAATTCGAAAATTTCACTCTAGAATCACATTGCAAGCCTACACAACTGTTTTAGTTAGAATTTCTATGTAGTTTTTTTTAGTTTCCCCAACTGTCTTTCACAGTCTGCTATTTTGAAAATGGTTATGGTGGCATTTTTTTTAAAATTTGAGTTTTTTATTACATTTTCCCTATTTTTTAAGTAGTCATGTCTGGATAGTTTTTTAGTCTACACCCAGTATTTTTAAAATTGTCTAATAACATTCGAAAATTTCTCTCTGGAATCTCATTTAAGCCCACAGCAATTTTTTAATTGGTATTTCTATGTAGTTTTTTTTAGTCTCCTTAACTTTTTTCCAATCTAAAATTTTGAAAATGTTATACTGAAATTTTTTTGATCTGATTTTTTTATTAAAATTGTTTTGTTTTGTAAATTTAGAGAATTTTTTAAATTGCTTTATCTGGATAGTTTTTTAGTCTACGTCTGAATATTTTGAAAATTCTTCTACATTTTAGAAATTCGAAAATTCCTCTCTAGAACCTCATTTCAAGCCTACAAAAATTTCTTAATTAGTATTTCTACATAGTTCTTTTAGTCCCCCTAACTTTTTTAGTCTGAAAATGTTTTTTTAGACCTGTTTTGAAATTCGAAAATTTCTCTCTGGAATCTCATTATAAGCCCACATAATTTTTTTAATTGGTATTTCTATGTAGTTTTGTTAGTCTCCTCAAATTTTGAAAATGTTATACTGAAATTTTTTTTATTAACATTTTTGAAATTCGAAATTTTTTCTCTAGTATCTCATTCTAGGCTGCAAAAATTTCTTAGTCAGTATTTCTACATGGTTTTTAACTTTTTTAGTTGTTTATACTGAAGTTTTTTTAAACCTGAGTTTTTTTATTTCATTCACATAAAGAGAATTTAAGTTGCTATTTCTGAATAATT